ATATTAATTATACGAACGATAAACTTCGGAATTTAATTTAATTAAACTTAAAAGCTAAGAAAAAAAGAATATTAATTAAAAAAGAATGAAAAATTTTGAATACTGATCTAAAGAAATATTATATTACTTTTACATTTCATAGATATGCGATTTTAATATAGAACTCGATTTTATTAAAATAAAATAATGAATTGAATTGAACTTTAGAAGAGAAAAAATGTGCTAAATTTATCAATCGACTTTAATGTAAAATTTGATTTTATTAAACTAGAATCATAAATTCAATTAAGTTTTAAAAAAAAGTTTAATATTAAAAAGGCATAAAATATGAAATAATCCTATTCGCGTACGCGTGGCAATGTGGAAATATTATTTACGGAAAGTTACTTCGTCTCAGTTTTTTAAATTTACACCCGTACACCCATCACCATAAGAGCATTTTGAATGACAACATGGTAAAATTAAAATACTAATATAGTAAAACTAAGAGCCATTCTCGAAAGTTCCTAGTGAACCTTCGAAAATAACTCAATAGCCTAATAGTTGTCTTCTTGAGCCACATGTTGTCTTCGGCATATAGTTTCTTCTTTGCTTCGTGCCTCAACCTAATCGATTATCACTCTAAAACTGTAACGACAAAATTTGATTCCAAATTCTAAGATATGAAAGAAAACCCTAATACAACCCTAACGAATCTGAAAACTTATTATTATTCTTTCGAAAGATACTTTTTCGCTGCGTGGGAGAAATTAGATATTAATTATAAAAAAATTAGAAATTAGATAATAGTATATTAACTGCTGAAAATCCTGAGCTAAAAAATAATTAATTTATCATCTAGGTTTACGTACTACGTCTCTTTGTCTTTTGGCAAACATTCTACTCGATTTATCTCTTTCAAAACCAATGAGTCTCTATCGAGACTTTTTTGTATCAATTTAAATTGATTAAATATTTAATTACTAATTATTTAAAAATATAAAGCAAACCCTTGGACGTTCCTTCTTACAAACGAATATTTTAATTATTGTAATAAAATCATACACAGTTTCGTTTGTAATCCAGAGACTATCCATCGCGAATGTCTTCTTACTCGTTCCTTATTAGAATTTATAAATATCGATTCTTTACTTATTTCCGCACGAGTAAAATATTTAAAAATGTATTAAAATATTCAAAATCTCAAATAATTATAAACGCGTTTGAGCAAGAAGACTCTATCCTGATCTAATAAATAAATGAAAAAATAAGAAACCATTCACGAGTAAATCTCCGAAGAAATTTACTCGTGGTCACTCAATGCTCTTCTACTAATTAATTACAACCAATCACCCGTGCTGATTCGGACCTTTCGTCCTCGACATGATTGAGTGATTGGAGGGACTTAAAAACTCACTTACTACTTAAGAAGTTCTGCGATGTCTCCAAAACACTCGTTCAGATCGAAATTGAGAGCGGACGATTCGTATGTGGTTGAAAATTTGGTAGGTCGACATCAAAGTTGATCAAGAATTTCTTCAATGATGCACTGACTCTATATCGCGATAATTATTTTTTAACGAACGGTCACTGAATTTACTTCGCGAAACTCTACAGTCTTTTATAAATACAGCCTATGCAACTGTTAAAAAATTATTACAGTTTGTGAACAAACACTGACTCTAACGACTGCATTGCACGCAGACGTTGCAAAAACTTTTGCTTATTAAATAGCGAAACGCGAACGAACAAACACTGCTTCTACTTCGCGATATTTACATTTAAGAGATACAAATATTCGATTACAACATTGGTTTCCAAGCGATTCTAATGACGTTCTGAAACAACAAAATAAAAACAAAATTATTAATGTCACCGTTATAATAAGAAACTGTATAAATTATTAAAGAAACGTAAGATATAATAATATATTTACCTTAATATTCGTTGATACTTGCAGCGAAGACATCTTGAGACACTTAAGATGTTTACTCGTCAAAAGAAAAAGGAGAAATGATTCGGTAATCGCGATTTTGAATTTTTAATGTTTAAATAAATATATTGTTGTTTAAATATTACTCTATTCTATCCCGCGTGCAATAAAAATCATTTAAATAATTATTAAATTATCGATAATATTAATTTAGAAGTTTTAGCGTCTACAAAAGTGAATCGCGATGTGCACAGGTCGAAGTGCAAGAGAAGACTAACTCGCGAACTGTCAAAGTCGTGAAAAAGTGCGTTTATGTTTATATAACACGAGGCAACTACTGCGGAATTAAAATTTTAAAGTAATAAAAGTTTATATTAAAATTATTTTAAGTCCCTCGCGCGATTCAGACTTTTTAATGTTTAAATAAATGTATTGTTGTTTAAATATTACTCTACTCTATCCCGCGTGCAATAAAAATCATTTAAATAATTATTAAATTATCGATAATATTAATTTAGAAGTTTTAGCGTCTACAAAAGTGAATCGCGATGTGCACAGATCGGAGGGCAAGAGAAAACTAACTCGCGAACTGTCAAAGTCGTGAAAAAGTGCGTTTATGTTTATATTACACGAGGCAACTACTCCGAAATTAAAATTTTTAAGTAATAGAAGTTTATATTAAAATTATTTTAAGTCTCGTGCGCGATTCAGACTTTCTAATGTTTAAATAAATGTATTGTTGTTTAAATATTACTCTACTCTATCCCGCGTGCAATAAAAATCATTTAAATAATTATTAAATTATGGTTTAAATATTACTCGATAATATTAATTTAGAAGTTTTAGCGTCTACAAAAGTGAATCGCGATGTGCACAGATCGGAGGGCAAGAGAAAACTAACTCGCGAACTGTCAAAGTCGTGAAAAAGTGCGTTTATGTTTATATTACACGAGGCAACTACTCCGAAATTAAAATTTTTAAGTAATAGAAGTTTATATTAAAATTATTTTAAGTACTCTACTCTATCCCGCGTGCAATAAAAATCATTTAAATAATTATTAAATTATCGATAATATTAATTTAGAAGTTTTAGCGTCTACTAAAGTGAATCGCGATGTGCACAGATCGGAGGGCAAGAGAAAACTAACTCGCGAACTGTCAAAGTCGTGAAAAAGTGCGTTTATGTTTATATTACACGAGGCAACAACTGCAAAATAAAAATTTTAAAGTAATAGAAGTTTATATTAAAATTATTTTAAGTCTCGTGCGCGATTCAGACTTTCTAATGTTTAAATAAATGTATTGTTGTTTAAATATTACTCTACTCTATCCCGCGTGCAATAAAAATCATTTAAATAATTATTAAATTATGGATAATATTAATTTAGAAGTTTTAGCGTCTACTATCCCTTTTTAATGTTTAAATAAATGTATTGTTGTTTAAATATTACTCTACTCTATCCCGCGTGCAATAAAAATCATTTAAATAATTATTAAATTATGATAATATTAATTTAGAAGTTTTAGCGTCTACTAAAGTGAATCGCGATGTGCACAGATCGGAGGGCAAGAGAAAACTAACTCGCGAACTGTCAAAGTCGTGAAAAAGTGCGTTTATGTTTATATAACACGAGGTGCGTGCAATACTAATGTTTAAATAAATGTATTGTTGTTTAAATATTACTCTACTCTATCCCGCGTGCAATAAAAATCATTTAAATAATTATTAAATTATCGATAATATTAATTTAGAAGTTTTAGCGTCTACTAAAGTGAATCGCGATGTGCACAGATCGGAGGGCAAGAGAAAACTAACTCGCGAACTGTCAAAGTCGTGAAAAAGTGCGTTTATGTTTATATTACACGAGGCAACAACTGCAAAATAAAAATTTTAAAGTAATAGAAGTTTATATTAAAATTATTTTAAGTCTCGTGCGCGATTCAGACTTTCTAATGTTTAAATAAATGTTTTGTTGTTTAAATATTACTCTACTCTATCCCGCGTGCAATAAAAATCATTTAAATAATTATTAAATTATCGATAATATTAATTTAGAAGTTTTAGCGTCTACAAAAGTGAATCGCGATGTGCACAGGTCGGAGGGCAAGAGAAAACTAACTCGCGAACTGTCAAAGTCGTGAAAAAGTGCGTTTATGTTTATATAACACGAGGCAACTACTGCGAAATTAAAATTTTAAAGTAATAAAAGTTTATATTAAAATTATTTTAAGTCCCTCGCGCGATTCAGACTTTTTAATGTTTAAATAAATGTATTGTTGTTTAAATATTACTCTACTCTATCCCGCGTGCAATAAAAATCATTTAAATAATTATTAAATTATTGATAATATTAATTTAGAAGTTTTATCGCGAACTGTCAAAGTCATTTAAATAATTATTAAATTATGGATAATATTAATTTAGAAGTTTTAGCGTCTACAAAAGTGAATCGCGATGTGCACAGATCGGAGGGCAAGAGAAAACTAACTCGCGAACTGTCAAAGTCGTGAAAAAGTGCGTTTATGTTTATATTACACGAGGCAACTACTCCGAAATTAAAATTTTTAAGTAATAGAAGTTTATATTAAAATTATTTTAAGTCCCGCGTGCGATTCAGACTTTCTAATGTTTAAATAAATGTATTGTTGTTTAAATATTACTCTACTCTATCCCGCGTGCAATAAAAATCATTTAAATAATTATTAAATTATCGATAATATTAATTTAGAAGTTTTAGCGTCTACAAAAGTGAATCGCGATGTGCACAGGTCGGAGGGCAAGAGAAAACTAACTCGCGAACTGTCAAAGTCGTGAAAAAGTGCGTTTATGTTTATATTACACGAGGCAACTACTCCGAAATTAAAATTTTAAAGTAATAGAAGTTTATATTAAAATTATTTTAAGTCCCTCGCGCGATTCAGACTTTTTAATGTTTAAATAAATGTATTGTTGTTTAAATATTACTCTACTCTATCCCGCGTGCAATAAAAATCATTTAAATAATTATTAAATTATCGATAATATTAATTTATAAGCTTTAGCGTTTAGAAAAGAGTATCGCTTTGTGCATTTAGTTGTGCACAGATATTTATCATCTACCTTGCGATAGTCTCACGGGATTCTTTAAATAAACGCGCGTTAATTTCCCATTAATATTCCTCTCGTAACGCGGTAAGGGTTATTTTGTTGACGGCCTTCAACGGTATCCTAGCCTATAGTACCGCCGACTTATTCGTCGCGATCTATAAATCTAACGATAAAAAAGAGACGATGCAAATCGACTAGCATCGTTGGTCCGGTGCGAGACGCATATGTGGAAAGGCTCTCGTAATTCTGTCGTACAGAACAACCCAACAACGTCTACAGCATAAATTAGGAGGAAAGAGATGAGAGTGTCCTCATTACTTCATTATAAAATATCGAAAGATATAGAATCTGGTTAGCATGCACAAGGAAAAGTTGAGAAAACTTGAGAAAATCTCAAGACAATTCTCATTGAAGTGTATGTTTCGAAAGGGTTGCGTCTAGGTTATTTCAAACTGCACGATGAAGACCGGTCCTCTCAATTCTGATGATCAAATCGTTACGTACTTATCGCACGTTATTAACAATAATTGTTAAAATAATCCATATTAAATTCACCAATGCAAAAATGGAAAAATGAAGTTACAATGGCGTTATCAAAGTAGAACGAATTCAAAATCCTCAGCTATTCGATAAATGTACAACGCATAAACAAAATAAAAATATACTCTAATAGCATACTGAATGAAGTTACGGTAAAAGAAAACAGCCTTGATCGAGGAATAGATGATCGTAGAAACTCAAAGAGAAAGTGTCAATTCTGCTCGACTGTCACCAAATTCATCTTGCATATTTCCAAGTACGCGCTACAATGTACTGTTAACTATAACGAATAAAATCATATAACATCTATGTCCTAAAAAGATTAAAATAGAATTATTTAAAACTTCTTTTTAAAGGTACAGTGATTATAAATAACAATATTTGTCGACTAATGCTTACCATGTGTCGATGTCATGTGTCCAATATCATTTCTCACCGTAAATAAGTAAAACCGATGACGAAAATTCCAGACAAAGTACCTCTTCCAGACTACGTACCTCTATCTATCATCAAAATTAATTGCTTACGTCGTTATATTAGCTTAAGGAATGCAGTCTAATAATTTATCTTTTGCAGTTGAGCGTGATCGACGTTTGCACATGATCGAGTCCTAGCTATACGTATAAATTCCACTGGAATAAATACGTTGTATTTAATAATCACACTTATCTTCTCCTTTGTTTATTTTGTCTAATTTCTCTAGTTATTAATACAGCGATTGCTTGCGTTACCAACTTTTCGCCACAGGGAGGTCAACGTGACAATTCGTAAGAAAGGAAAGTATGGGGTGCTTTCTAAGAGCACCATTTATGCTTGCACAATGATCATGCTGTACTAGGATGATGTAAAAGGATACGCAAAAATAGCACCGCTAATGTGATGTAAGGAATTGTATTTATAGAATATTTATATATTTTTCCTCTATATCATCACTGTAGGTGACATATTAAAAAAAAAAAAAGGTTTTTCTCCTCCCACCCCCAAGTATTAACGATAGAGATTTTATCTAAAATTTATCACATCTTATTAATCGAATTAATAAAAGCTAAATTATTTTTAAATATATCAGCAATTAGTCTGCATATCGATATCCCAGGACAATTTCCTATCTAATAATAAGCTTAATGCGATAACGTTACGTTTATATATCCACATATTATTACCTTCTCTGTCTGTTCTTTCCTGTTCTTTCCCAGCATGCACAATTCGTGCTGAAAGCCTGAATAATGTTAAATTTTATTAGTAGGATATACATAAAATGAATTGTGTGCGCGTACATACGGGATACCGTAGGGGGTATTCGTAGATATGCGCGTGTCTATATGAAAATCGAATGTAATACGAAATACGATACATGAAGTATAATTAATGGCAAATTATTAATTGTTACATAATGAAAAAATTGAAAGAAGTACCGTTACTGCAAAAATAAGACAAAAAAGCGTCCACCGAGTCGCCGATTTTATCATCGCGGGGATTTTTCAAACGAAACGATGCGACGACTTGCGAAAATCGCCTTTTCGGCGATCGTAGGATATGTAAGATAAGGGTGTAAGTTAGAAAAAAAATATTCTAATTACTTGCAATTAATGAGACGACGAAGCTTGGTTGTAGCCGGTACCACAAAATAATTCGAAATGACAGATTCATCGTTAGCAAAGGAGACTAATTGGATCGTCGGCCAACGTTCTTTACGTCATCTGGCAATTTTTCGATCTATTATATGAAAATATCGAAACATTAAAAATATGGTATACGAAATTAAAAACTGTCTAAATGAATAGCTTGTTCAGTCCAAACTGTGAAAATTAATCACTTGAATATGATACCAGTAGAAATGGTAGTAGGTTTATAAACATGGAGACAAAATTTGTAAGAAAAATGTTCATGCGCTTACATACGAATTATTTTTCATACGAATGTCTTCTATTCTCAAAGTTAGATACTAAGTAATTGTTGCAACGACGAAGCTACGAAAATTAACATTATTAAAAATTTCAGTTACGTTTTCTGAATTATATCGAAATATTTTACATACATAAATTTGATATTAATTACGCGTCAAAGTATTATAGAAAAATTATTTCATTAACTTCTTCCAGAGCACTTTTCAACGGCAGATGCAATATCTGTTCACAGACATATTTTTTAATAATGTCGTGTAACGATTAATTCTTTTTTCCGGACATCTATCCGTTTGGAATTCTTTTTTTTCCATAGCTTTTGTAAAAATAAATTTTATTTAAATAAATTCTTTTTCATTCTGAAAAGTAACTTTTTTCTTTCGATTCGCTTCTTGCAATGAAAAAGGAAGAAGATGAGTGAGAAACTGCAAAGGAAAGAGAAAATAGAAGATGTTCAAGGAACGTAGGTAAAAAAGAGCGATGGCATGTAACGCGTGTGCTGCTATCTTTGAAAGGCGCATTTAGCGCGCGCGCGCAAATGCATTCACACACGCCAAAATATGGTGTGAGCGAGCGAGCGGGCGAGCGAGCGAGCGAACGAGAGAAAGAGAGAGAGAGAGAGAGAGAGAGAGAGAGAGAGTGAAAATGATTGCGGCCGGTGCTTGGATGGGTGGGACGTGAGAGGGTGAGCGTAGCGTGAGCGCGTGACAGGACACGTGACCGGGAGCACACAGAGCTCGGCCCCGTGACGTCAGGCGCACGTGTCGCATAGCGTGGTAACTGCCTCGCTTCCACCATCCTCTCTCATGCCGCGCGTCACCCCTCACTCCAGTCTTCAAGCAACATACTGTACTCTGTCGTGAATTCGCCTTGTGGTCAGTACCGTCTCGAGTTCTCGCTTTACCCTCCTCTCTCCCTCCCTCCAAACCCCAATAACGTAACTTGCAGTCTTTTGAAATAGACTTTCACCTAGAAAGTCAACTATTTTCTCCCTTCTCTTTCTCATTCTTTATCATCATCTTCATTGAAACTCTATTTGAAAATTCTCTCGAATTGACATAATGTCGAAGCATCGTTACGCGACAATGCTTACAATTTATTGATACTATGTGGGCTTAAAAAAAATCCTGAAACTTATTTCTCGTTCCTTCTAGAATGCATAATATACATACATAGGTGTATATATATATATATAGTATGTATGTAGTTACATACGTATATCGACGCTTCGGCGCGTTTCGATTCATTTTCCAGCGAGAGATGAGAAGAGTCGAGGAGCGAGCGAGTAACTTCTCAACGATGTAACTAGTTACATATCTATGTATAGTAGAATGTTTGCCAAATCCGTTGAGGTATATACGCGATATAGGGCAACATGGAAATCCACTTTGATTTTCTTCTTGTTGTATTTTGGATATCATAGGCGGCGCGACACGATGAACGAGATAACGAATGTGCGCATATAACGCTAAAGAATATGCGCGTCGTTAAACCTATTTCGGAATTCTATATCGTCATGTGTAATTTTATCAGGACACAAGAAGTCGAACGAACATTGACTTGTCGCGTTACACTTCGTACAGTGATAATGACGCTTACCGTAGATAACCTGGTCGGAATTTTTTTTCTATATATTCACTTGGTGTTACCAGTAAGTTATTTCCTCGTAATGTCTTTCCTGACAATAATAATATGATAGGATGACTCGTTGTCATTTCGTAAATATGTATACCATTAAATTCCTATTATCGAATTAAGTTTTAATCAAGTTTTTAGTCGTAATATACGTATTGACGTAAAAACATGGAAAATTGAATGTTTAGAAGTCATAAATCCCCTTATCAAAGAACTCAAGATCGCTCGAGCAATAGAAAATAAAGATGGATAGGGCACCAAGATAGATGCATTCGTTCCTGAAACGCGCAACTCGAGTTCGTTCTCTCCCACTTAAGAGATATCGAGTGGACGAGCTAGCGAGCGAAGGAACGAGCAGCTTGCAGGGGCACCTCGCATTATAAGCGAAAGGTGTTTCAACGAGTTAACGGCACGCGTTTCTTACCGTTCTTTATTCGCTCTCGCTCCCAGGTTCTAAGTGCGCACGGCAGAAGGTTACTTGCGATTAAAAGTGTGTGCGCGTTCTATAAATATTTTCCCATCTCTTCGAGGAGATAGATAATACGTAAGTGTCAGGTTTTCTACGGCCCTGCAATATCCCTTCTCTTACTCATTCCCTTTTCTCATCCTCTCTCTCTCTCTCTCTCTCTCTCTCTCTCTCTCTCTCTCTCTCTCTCTCTCTCTCTCTAGAACGTATCGCGCGGAATTTCTCGGTCGAACGAGTCAACGGCCTTATCGACACGTACACTCGGTGAGCCGCGACTCGGTGACTGCCACGGCACCGTACCGAACTTTAATATTTTTGTCGTTATTGAATTTTCTTTATCCGCATGTGGACGATTCTTTTATTAGAACTTTTCAAAGTGTCTCGATCTTTCCGATCGCGCGGCTGTAGTCGCTGTTGCGCGCGCACGAGTAAACGAAAGAGAGAGAGAGAGAGAAAGAGAGAGAGAAAGAGAGAGAGAATGCGTGCATGTGTATGTGTGTGTGCGTGAGAGAGAGAAAGAGGGCGCTAGTACGAACTTCGCCGCGAAACTGAACACGGAGAAGTCGTGGGCGATTCCCCCGAACACCGGCCTCTTTCGGTACGTCGCACGGCTTGCGCACTAATGTATCAGTGAATTTGCGGAGGCGAGTCTAACCTAGTCGCGTTACGTGTGCGCGCGCGATCAATCAAGAAGAGAGAAAGAGAGAGAGAACTAACATCACGACCCTTTCCTACAAAGAGAAGATCCTTGACTCTCATTCCGACTAATCCCGTGCATGCGCGTCCCTTCCTTTTTTATTCCTTTTTCTTCATCTTAGTCGGGGTAGCTTTCTTGCAAAGATACCTAAATTTTTCAACGTACCGAATAGAGGAACTTCGTCGTCATCACGTTCTTCTACTTTTTTAAGCACCAAGGCAAAGTAAGTGAAGTAAGAAGATCGTCGTTGGATTTATCGAAACGAATTCGAAAAAGTGACGTACGTTTTCACGTACTTTTTGAGAACAGTGCTTACGCCGTCTCGTTCTATGCTTCAAAATGATGGAGACACAGAATTATTGGGAGGACAACTCCGCTCATTCTATGCAAGTCAAGTATGAGAGGTAAGGCATATAAAGTGCTTTTGATCGATCTTTTTGGTTGATCGAAACGCTTCTACTATGGATAGTAAATAAGAAACAGGTAGGTAACTTTATCCTGCTGATTTCGAAGAGGCACGTCTATTATTTTGCTCGGATCGCTTAGACAGCCGGATCGTATCACGTGCTTTCGAATCGATAAATAAGACGTTACACAATGTAAAGGAACGTTCGTTGCCTCGAGAAAGCGTGTTTCATGATTGCTTCGAGACATTCCTTTTTTTATCTTCATTCCTCTATTATTTATTTTTAATAGAAACGTGTAAATTTAATTCCGCTTTATCGTACCATTGACACGAGGAAGATTTTTTATCAGTTAACATTCCCCGTCGATCATCGTTTCACATAATCGTTTCTCAAAAATATTTCTATGGCCTACTAATCCAAAATAATCGATATTCTCGATAAAAGCGAGAATAATTTCTTTGTAGAAAACGCAAAAAGGATATCTTTATTGTTTGCTAAGTTTTCGCGTAGAGAGAGTGAGAGAGAGAGAGAGAGAGAGAGAGAGACGTCAGTACTTACTTTTTCGCGATGCACTCGTTGGTCATAACGGTGTGAATTAGAAACAGAGAGATACGAATATACGTCCATTCATGGAAAATCGCGAGCAAAAGATAGTTCATAGTTGCATGATCAGTCAATGATAACCGAGATGCTTTTGAAAATAATCGAGCACGAGCAGAGGCCGTTATCGCGGAGAATACACAGGTGCTTCGATTTTGAATTTCTTAGTTCGCCTCGTGCCCTGATAATCAAATACTTTCGTAGATATCGCTGTTTTATTTGTCTTTTCAAAAGCAACCACCGCTAAAAAATTCATGGCCGTACGCTAGCGCGTTACAGATAAGATAAAATAGAGAGAAGTCGGCATTTTCTTTTTCTCTCTATCTCCGTCTCTCCCCCTCCCTCCCTCTCTCTCTCTCTGTCTCTCTCTCTCTCGATGTCGATCAAGCGCCACGTAGTACGCGTACTTTTTGGCTCGGTCGACGGACCAAATTAGATTCGAACTATAAGCAAACGTTCAAGCGTTCCTTAAAGCGCTGATCGGTCGACGTCGATGACTTTTCTACATTTTCCTTTGTCCGTGCGTATGTACGTGTGTGCGTGCGTGCGTAATCTAGAATTTTTCGAGCAGATTGTGATCATTTCTATAGATCGCTTATATTTATCTCGACTTTTTTTTTTATAATTATTATAATATTATATGAAAATCTATTCAAATCTAATTAAAGACGCGACGATATAAGAACGTCATGACATAGCGATCTACTTAAAAATGCCGACCACCTATTAATCAGCACAATTGATAAAGTTCTGCACGAGAGAATATATAAGGCCTTCAAATTGACATTTAGGAATAAAAAATACAAAACTTGCTTAAAAGGAAGGATGAGAATATTTTTTTATATATAGGGGAAAAATTTATTTATAAGTGTTATCGATGCGGTTGACAATTGGGCGATGACTATTCCATCTTCATTCGTTATTTTCATCTTTATTCACTTTATTTCATATATTTCTATTCACGCGACGATACGAGCATGATGCGATGAA